GGACAGGAAGAGTGGCCACTCGTCTCATCTTTATTATTATTATTTTGTCTTTTTTTTTTTTTAACTTTAAGTTCGGGGATACCTGTGTAGAACATGTAGGTTACATAGGTATAGGTGTGCCATGGTGGTTTGCTGCACCTATCAATCCATCATCTAGCTTTTAAGCCCTGTGTGCATTAGGTGTTTGTCCTAATGCTCTCCCTCCCTCTGCCTCCTACCTACCAACAAGCCTCAGTGTGTGATGTTCCCCTCCCTGTGTCCATGTATTCTCATTGTTCAACTCCCACTTATAAGTGAAAACATGCGGTGTTTGGTTTTCTGTTCCTGTGTTAGTTTTCTGAGAACAATGGCTTTTAGCTTCATCCATGTCCCTGCAAAGGACATGATCTCATTTTTTTTAATGGCTGCACAGTATTGCAGGGTATATATGTGCCACATCTTCTTTATCCAGTCTATCATTAATGGGCATTTGGGTTGGTTCCAAGTCTTTGCTATTGTAAATAGTGCTGCAGTAAACATACGTGCGTGTGTGTCTTTATAACAGAATGATTTATAATCTTTTGGGTGTATACCCAGTAATGGGATGGCTGGGTTAAATGGTATTTGTGGTTCTAGATCCTTGAGGAATTGCCACATTGTCATCCACAATGGTTGAACTAATTTATAGTCCCACCAATAGTGTAAAAGCATTCCTATTTCTCCACAGCCTCGCCAGCATCTATTGTTTCCTGACTTTTTAATAATCATCCAAAAAGAGCCCGTATAGCCAAGACAATCCTAAGCAAAAAGAACAAAACTGGTGGTATCATGCTACCTGATTCAAAGTATACTACAAGGCTACAGCAACCAAAACAGCATGGTACTGGTACCAAAACAGATATATAGACCAATGGAACAGAACAGAGACATCAGAAATAACACCACACATCTATAACCATCTGATCTTCAACAAACCTGACAAAAACATGCTATGGGGAAAGATTCCCTACTTAATAAATGATGCTGGGAAAACTGGCTAGCCATGTGCAGAAAACTGAAACTGGACCCCTTCCTTACACCTTATATAAAAATTAATTCAAGATGGATTAAAGACTTAAATGTAAAACCCAAAACCATAAAAACCCTAGAAGAAAAGCTAGGCAATACCATTCAGAACATAGGCATGGGCAAAGACTTCATGACTAAAACACCAAAAGCAATTGCAACAAAAGCCAAAATTGACAAATGAGATCTAATTAAATTAAAGAGCTTCTGCACAGCAAAAGAAATTATCATAAGAGTGAACAGGCAACCTACAAAATGGGAGAACATTTCTGCAATCTACCCATCTGACAAAAGTCCAATATCAGAATCTACAAGGAACATAAACAAATTTACAAGAAAAAAGCAACCCCATCAAAAAGTGGGCAAAGGGTATGAACAGACACTTCTCAAAAGAAGACACTCATGTAGCCAACAAGCCTATGAAAAAAACTTCATTATCATTGATCATTAGAGAAATGCAAATCAAAACTGCAATGAGATATCATCTCATGCCAGTCAGAATGGCGATTATTAAAAAGTCATCTCATCTTTAATCTGAGGCTCATTCCTTTCATTTGTTCTCAGTAGACCAACCCAATTATCTTTGTCCTGGAATCAGCAGTGAAGTCGAAAAGTAATCCAGGAGAAAAAGTGTCTATATATATTCCTAGCAGATTTTACTCCTATGGAAAAAAACACATTTAGAGAAAGTGGAATTTTCCTAAGGAGAACAATGTAATTTTAAAACAAAAATAAAAGGGAACAAATTTTCACCAAATAATTAAGCCATCAAAAATGTATGCATTATTTAAGTAAAAAGTTTTCTTTTTTACCCTCAGTGTCTGAATTTTCTTTATTGTTTACCAGGATTCATGATTCCTTTTGTAACTTGTTCTCAGTCATTTATTCAGTTGAGTAATTACACTTTGTCAGACAAATATCTAAAATTTTATTATGTAACTTGCAGATTTTCAGGACAAGTGAAGGAGGAAAATGGCAGAAGAGCTCAGGAAAGACAAAAATGCAAGACTGTGTCTAAGTTTATGCCTCTCTTGAGTTTGATGATCCACTTTCAATTTAATCATCTGAGTATCTCTTGGGGTTTCTTCCTTCACAATGGAGGAAAGTGGGCTCCGCCGAATTCACTGGAACACCGTCCTTTGAGGAGAAAGAAACTCTGAACGATAGATGTCTTTTTCAACAACTACTGCCAATGTTTTGAAAGTTCTCATTTGTTTTCAGCTAGATAACAAAGGCTGAAGAGTCGCCTTCTTTCCAGTTGATCCGATGGTTTACTGGTGCTTTTAAAACACATTACATAAATCCTTAGAAATCTTTTGTGAAGGTAAATTCAGTATTTTTAAGCAGTAATCCTTTGCTCTCATGATTCATGGCATGGAGACAGCACGCAGTCTTCCTGAATCAAGGTGAACGTTGATATTCAGTTTTCAAGGTAACACACCATATGAGGCCTCCATCGTCCTGAGGAGACCTGGCATATTGCCTTTTCCCAACAAAAAGTCTCATTTGCAGATGTACCTCAATTAGTGCAAACTTTTTTTTTCTTTCTCTGTTTTTGGGGGAGTTGGGGGATGGGGTCTTACTCTGTTGCCCAGGCTGGAGTGCAGTGGTGCGATCAAAGCTCACTGCAGCCTTGACCTCCTGGGCTCAAGTGATTCTCCTGCCTCCACCTCCCAGGTAGCTAAGACCACAGGTGTGTGCCACGATGCCTGGCTAATTTTTTAAAAATCTTTTATGTTTTGTAGAGATGGGGGTCGCCCTGTATTGCCCAGGCTAGTCTGGAACTCCTGGCTTCAAGGGTTCTTTCATCCCTCCTTGGCCTCTGAAAGTGTTGGAATTACAGGTATGAGCCACCATGCCCAGCCCAAACTCATTTTTTAATGCAATAATAGTGTATGCAAGTATATATATATATGTATATAGGTATGAATGACCATGTAAAAAGGCAGTTGTCTCTTGTGTTACAAGTTCTCCTAGAGCAAACACAGATGACTACGCTAAAAATATTTCAACTCAGGCTCCGTGGCTCTTCTCAAGGGTATCAAAAGAACTTAGGTCTCAAAGGTGGTACTTTGACCAAACTGTTTCCTAATCAAATGACCAGTTAATTGGTCAGTGACTGGGATTCTGCTCCATCGTGCTCCCTCCTTTCTCCACCAAGCACCAATTTCTTTGGAGTTCTATGCCACTCAAAGACTGTCATTAAGTAAGCCGTGCTGCAGGAGTACTGGTGCCCATGACTGAGACTTAGTGCATCACCTCTCCAAGCAACCCACTGAGATCCTTGCTGATGCCTCCACATTCTCATCAGTGAGCCAGTGCTTTCCCAGCCTATACTACCATGTCAGGGATTGCTCTTGTCTGCACCCTGTATTGGGAGCCACAGAGTGGCAATGTCTGAGGAAGCCTTTGCACAGGTGGATGGGCAGGGCAGGCAGCCAGACAGGCCATTCATCCATCCGTCAACAAGCAGGGCCTGCTATGTGCCAGGCTTCATGCCATGATGTACTATGTGTGATAAGTCTCACAGAAACCCATGTCCATCAGAAGCTTTTCTGCTCCCCAAGGCAAGGGAGAAATTTTTGTGCACTCAGACTTTGGGAGGGGACTCATGTCTTTCACCTTGTTCTGTGAGTTCTCCAATCCTTAGTGATTTCTTTATTTTTTGATTGATTGGTGATCCATGCTAAGTTATATCTTTTCTGGAACTCAGTATAAGATGAAAAAATTCCATGAGCTGGGTCAGAAATAGACAGTAGCTTTTGCTTTCGTGTAGACCTCCTTTTATCAGGGATGGAAGGGACAGTACAGGATTGTGGCCACAGACACTGAGGATGGCTCCTGGGTGTGGACAGGGCACAGAGAAGGGCCTGGTCTGAGGGGTTCCTTTGTGCAAAGTGGGACAGAGAGGGGCCCAGAGCCGCATCTGTCTGCAATGTCCACTCCAAGTTTGGTTGCTGCAGGAGCAGGTCCCTGCTCAGAGAGTTCATCCTGAGTAATGTGAAAAGAAAGGAGAAAATGACATGTAACTGAACAAATGGAAAGCTAGGATTTTTCTACCTTCTGGAAAAACAAGGTTTGTATCTTTTTTTAACAAGTAGGAACTTTTATGTATAGAATTATCCAAGAATAATATATTTACAATGTGCATGGCCTTGATTGTGTTAATGAAGCTATTATTCACACATGAAATGAAAATCATCTGGCTTTGGAGGCCCACTTTGCTGATGGTGTTTTTTTTGGGACAAGCAATAGGATCAGTTATGCAAGCAGGAAGAGAACGATCAGGGCCAGGGCGCAGTGGCTGGGCTGGACAGGCGGGGCGGTGCCGGCGCGGCCCTTCAGCATGCACATCACCCTGGACCAGGACCCGTTGTTGGGCAGTGGGGTGATGCCCACCACATTGCACATGACGTTGTAGACGTCCACTGATCTGATAGGAGCGGCTCTGAAGTTGGATTTGAAATCTGAAAGGGAAAGGCAAACAAACAAGTTGTCATGGCAGCTCTGGGGCAGAGGTGGGCTGAACGCAATAAAGAAGAATTACACTCAGGCTGCAGGTGGCATTCAGATTAGGGAATCAGCTCCATCAGTGGGATGTGGCCTAGAGAGTGTGAACATAGAAGGGTATCTGGAAGGCTGTAGGTTAGAAAGGGAAATAGCTTTCTATGGCTCATGGAGATGAATTTCTTTAAAAGACAAGCAGCAGAGCCAGGCTTGGGGGCTCATACCTGTAGTCTCAGCAAGTTGGGAGGGCGAGAAGGGAGGATTGCTTGAGCCCAGGAGTTTGAGACCAGCCTGGGCAACAGAGCAAGACTCTATCTCTAAAACAATTTTTTTAAACCAGGCATGGTGGTGTGCTCCCAGCTACTTGGAAGACTGAGGCAAGCAGATCACTTAAGCCGAAGAGTTCAAGGCTGCAGTGAGCCACGATGGTGCCACTGTACTCCAGCCTGGATGAGAGAGCGAGATCCTGTCTCAAAAAAAAAGGTAATCAGCAAACAGATTTTCTTTGTGCGTAACTGTGCTCTCTTTGTGCCAACAGCACTTTCTTTGGGAGGCTGGGGGAGGCTGAAAGGCCATCTGATGCTTCTCCATGTCTGCAGAGCGCAGTAGAGCCTGTATGGCCACAGAGTGACTGTCTTGCCCTTAACCAAATTAAATGCTATGTCATCTTCCAGAACATCTATCTAGCCAGGACCGACAGCCAGACTGCCAGTGTCTACTGCAGAGACCGCAGGACAGCCAGAGTGCCAGTGTCCACTGCAGAGACCGCAGGATAGCCAGACTGCCAGTGTCTACTGCAGAGGCCGCACGACAGCCAGAGTGCCAGTGTCTACTGCAGAGGCCGCACGACAGCCAGACTGCCAGTGTCTACTGCAGAGGCCACACGACAGCCAGACTGCCAGTGTCTACTGCAGAGGCCACATGGTAACTCAAGAATGTTTTCTCACTTTGCTGCCCCGTCGAGGTCACAGGTCTTGAAGGAATGTGAAACTGTGCAGTGTTCTCGGTGCTGGCTAGCTCAGCAGCCACGGCAATGGTTTCCTAAATACATTTGGAAGATGAGTGGAACACTCTTGGGGAGCATTTTACCAACAGATAAAATAAATTAGCCATGTGGAAAATGAGCAAACTGGCATCTGAATCAGGGATCCAGGTGCAGGCTCTCAGGGATCTAATGGAGATGACCACTGTGCCTCTGCCCAGAGTGACCCCAAGCTTAAGAGTCGGGTAAGAACAGACAGGTAAGGTGACCATGCCCAGCATGGTGAGCGAGGGGCGCCGAGGGTGACTCCGCAAGCCTTTGGAGGGATTTCAATCAAGGGATTTCTCCTCCTCTTCAGGGGGCAAATGAGAGGCAGAATTCAAAGCACTTGTCCATTTAAAGAGTGAATGTAAGATTTTAGTAATATACATAAGAAGCTTCACTTTTAGGACCCAAACCAGAGCTTCCAACAAAATACCCAATGCTACATTAAGGTTGAATTGACGGAGGAGATTTGATCCATTGATAAAGGCCTGTGCCTGTGCTTTTTAGTTCCCCTACAACTTTTGAAGGAAATGAGTTGTTTGGGGGCTGTAAAGCCAAGTTTTTTAAGATATTAGAAAATAATCTTTATAACTGCTTCGCTAAATAATCATAAATACTTCCTAAATAATCATAAATACTTCCGTTAAAAAGCAAACAAACAGCAACACACGGCAATCTATTCCAGAGGTATCAGCGCCAAATTCTGCTCCTCTATTTATCCTGGAATTATACATTGGAAAAAAGGTAAATATAGACACTTCTGCCACATAATATGTTAGATCCAGGGCAACTGCCCAAGTAGCACATGTTGCTCCCTTTGGAGAATTAAAGTTGAATGCAATATAAAGCAGTGTGTGGGCTCCACCACCAGCCTGCCCCCAGCATGCACTAGCTGAGTGACCTCAGGAAATAGGCATAGGAAGTCGTCATTCCTGGCACGTTGTGTATACTCAGTAAATGGTCACTGCTATTATTAATAAATATGTATGACAAGGGCAAATTGTGGTTTGAATATATTCACTTTGTAAATTATTTGGAGGGTTCACTTTTCTTCAGGGGCATGGAGGATAAGGGTCAGCTTCTCCTCAAAGTAAAAATTGGTTTTAAAAAATGTAAAACCTGGTTAGCCACGGTGGCTCACGCCTATAATCCCAGCACTTTGGGAGGCCAAGGTGGGCAGATCACCTGAAGTCAGGAGTTCAAGACCAGCCTGGCCAACATGGTGAGACCCCGTCTCTACAAAATTTACAAAAATTAGCCGGGTGTGGTGGCAGGCGCCTGTAATCTTAGCTACTCAGGAGGCTGAAGGAGGAGAATTGCTTGAATTGGGGAGGCGGAGGTTGCAGTGAGCCAAGATTGTGCCATTGCACTCCAGCCTGGGCGACAGAGCGAGACTCTGTCTCAAAATAATTATTATTAATAATAATAATAATAACAACGTAAAACCTGCCCAGAGAGGAGAAAGGAAGGGCTGCCCCAATATCCCAGCCCCTCTCAGTATCGAGGCAAATCAGACAATCAGAAGAGGATAGTAGTTACACTTCCCATCCGAGGAATCAACTGCAGCATGAGAAACCAGTGGAACGGTTGTTCCAGCGACATGGAAGCAACTCTTCTATCTCCTTCTTCTCATGTGACCTGGATGTGCTAATCCTACTGCCACATGGGGCCATGCCTGGCTGTGTGTGGGTGGGAGGGCATATGAGGCAGTGGACCATAATAAGCCCAGGTGCCCCCCAGCCTTTCAAATATCCACTTCTGGATGGGCACTATGGCTCACACCTGTAATCCCAGCACTTTGGGAGGCTGAGGCAGGAGGATGGCTTGAGGCTGAGGAGTGCAAGATCAGCCTGGGCAATAGAGCAAGACCTCAACTCTGCAAAAATAAAAAAATTAGCTAGGTGCGGTGGTGTGTGCCTGTAGTCCCAACTACTCAGGAGGCTGAGGCAGGAGGATCTCTTGAACCCAGGAGATAGAGGCTACAAGTGAGTCATCACGTCACTGCACTCCAGCCTTGATGACAGAGAGAGACCGTCTCTAAAAAACAAAACAAAACAAAAATCCTCTTCTTTAACACTTCACAGGAAAAACTGAGATCAAATTCTTCTGACAAAAGTATTAGAAAATGTTGTCTTTTTATACTGAAAATATGAAATCAAATTCTGTGCATTTAAGCAGAGAGGAGAACTGAGATTTCTTTCCCATCCCATCTAGTTCACGGCCTCCTGTTCTGCAGGGATAGTGCTTTGGGCTCAGTGCAGAAACGATCCAGGCTGAAATGAGAAAGCTTTTAGAAAATTCCTGAATAGCAAAACAACGCCTGAGCCAACTGAGGACTCAGACAGGCTCTACTAGCTCAAGACGCCACTTCAGACATGGACTGAGAGTCCAAGTTATCCTCGCGCGTTTACATTTTCTTGGTTATCAGAGAAGATGTGTCTCTGACAGAGAGGAGGTTCTGCAGGCTTACACTGTGCCTGGCCACCGGGGGCTGCTTTCCCAGTGAGGCTTGCTAGCTCTCAGGCAGCTCACCGACTCACACTCCTGCTGTCTTATCTCGAACGTGGAGTTCTCCAGGGCAAGATTAGACCGTTCAAATTAGAAACTGGGATTAACGAGAGAAAAGCTCTCCTGCAGAATTACTTCCCTTTCTCTTTGCTGGACCAGACTCACTGACTTCTAAGGCAGCATCTGGGCAGCTGCAGTGATGCTCAGCTTTCTCCCTAAGCAAGAAGCACATACGGTTAATCAGGAGGGATGCACCTTTATCTCAAAGTGCAGCTAGATAGCTATTAAAGGCCTTGCTCTTAAATTTTCTTCTCAGTAAACAGCCAGTGTGTAAAGCTGTTTAATTTTTCATGAGAACTGGAGCCAGAACGTGATGGTTTGCCGGAGGCTCTCGATGCTGTATCTGCCTGGAAACATTTTGCAATTAGCCCAGTCCATTTTCATCAGGGGTCATCTATCTGTCTGTAAAAGACTGGGAGCTTTCAGTCTTACAGGAGCCTATGACGGAGGCCTCTGTTAATGGACAGAATCTCTTCACTGAATTTTAACTTTAAGCTAATGCAGCTTTGGGTACCTTGTTTAAAATTTGGGGTTTGGGGCTAGATTTGGTTCTGCTTTAAAATATTCCTGAGACTCGGCTGGGCACAGTGGCTCACGTCTATAATTCCAGCACTTTGGGAGGCTGAGACAGATGGATCACCTGAGGTCAGGAGTTTGAGACCAGCCTGGCCAACATGGTGAAACCCCGTCTTCCTACTGAAAATACAAAAATTAGCCAGGCATGGTGGTGGGCTCCTATAGTCCCAGCTACTAAAGTGGCTGAGGCAAGAGAATTGCTTGATCCCAGGAGGTGGAGGTTGCAGTGAGCTGAGATCGCACCACTGCACTCCAGCCTGGGTGACAAGAAACTGTCTGAAACACACACACACACACACAAGAACACACATACACACACACACACACATATATTCCTGAGACTCTCATTTGTATATAGTCCTTCCCAGACAACTGCTTTGCATTCATGATCCTATTTCCCTCATCTGGGAATGGAGGGTGCCACACTTTTGAATGAAAGCCTTGCTGACTAATGTTCTCCCAAAGAAAGACCATGACCCTGGAATGTATCCAATGTAATCCAGCAGTTACCCTCAGCGTGCTCCATTCCTAATTCCTTTAGCTTTGGGGCTCTGCATGTCTGACCTGGGGTTCGGCTGACAGGGAGCACCTGATAACCATTATTGGTTAAAGGCAGCATCTTCAGAACCCTCTCTTAGGTCAACATCATGAACCCTGTTAGTGTTCCATGAATTTGCTGCTACTGCTTCTAATGCTCCCTTGAGGACTTGGGAACCTGGATCACATGCGGAAAGGGATTTGGACTAATGTGTTTCCTAAGCTCAGGCACCCACGAAGGTTGCAGAAACTGACACCTCATAGTTCTTAACAGGGATTTTGTGGAAAGTAGAGTGAACCATGGTAGGCCGAATAAGGGATGCTGACATACGTCTTTGATCTTACTACACTGAAGAGATAAGCAGAGCTTGTAGATGTGATATCTAACCTATAATTTGAAAGGCAAACGTGGACTTTTGGGGGCTGAAACATTTTGACCAACATCTAGAGAAAGGCATTCAGAATACAGGCATCAGGGTAGGCTGCTTATAATTAGTACAGGAGGAGGGACTGTACTAAGAAAGAAGGATAGCTCATGAACCAGTCAACTGGTTGGTTGATGGCTGATGGCTGTTGGACGCTTTTTTCCCCTTTTTAATTTTTGTTTTTGGGAGAAGAGGGTGTTCAGGTAGTAGTAAGATCTTGAGTGTTTGGCAAACTTTTCCGAAGTATGAATTGACAGGGATCCATCTGTTAAATCAAATGACCAGATAGGCCTCCTCCATCTCTCCTCTCCTCCAGCCCTAGGAATTAATCTGGTCAAGGAAGACAAAGCAAATTCGCTCTCATCCAAGGCATCCCTCGTCATTCTGGCTCATTCTCAGAGTCAGGCTCAAGGTCATTTCCGCGCCTGCCCTTGAGCACATCCCAGCTTCTGGTTGGGCCCTAAACTAAATGAGCCTCCCTGAGGTGGGTGCTGTAGATGGGAAGGACTGTGGAAGAGCCAGACCTTGAGAAGCGATCGCATCAACTGTGAGACTCACAGCTGTCAGCAACCTGGTGTCCGATAAGCTTTCCTGGACATCAGATAGCTGTGAAATAACATTTTGATGAATTAGGTAAAAAATGAATCACAAACATGTGGAATACATTTTCTTCACTGCACTCAGGATTTAAAATTTACGAGGCAAAGTATTTGGCTACATTTGCCAAACCCAAGAAGCATTTGAAAGGAAGCCAGCAAAAGATGTTTCATGGAGACCGGCTGGGTTTGCTCTGCTTGGCTCATAAAGGAGCCTGTAAGGAAATCTGTAAGGAAATCTGCAGCCTCTCCTGGCACCCATAGTCCCCCCTTACAGATGCTTCCCTGGGAATGGGGTCTGAGAGGATCTGGTCATTTCCTCGCCTACCAGGTCCGAAGGCCAGGAAGATGCCCCGCATGTCCATGAGCTCGTTGTCGTAGCCGTGCCATCCACGCTGCCAACCTTCCCGCCTGCCGGTGCTGTTCATCCAAAACGGAAGCATCTCTCGATTCTGAAACCAAGCAAGGCAGACACGTGACTCTGAGTCCTGAGTGGTGCTCAGCGGGCATCTGCTCCACGCTGCCCCTCCAGCAGGGGGCGCTTTCCTCCTCTGCACACTGACTGAGCCACCCAACCTCCGCTGCCACTCTTCCTGCTCCAGGCGGCTCAGACCTTGCGCAGCAGCCTATTCAATGGCTAAGTGCTCTGGTTAACAAGATGTTTTCCTACATGGGGCTGAATTGTGTCCCGTAATCAGTTTTAGAGCCACTAAATATAGTAAGTTAGTGGCAGAAGGGATGTTAAAGTGTATCTGTGGTGTCATAAAAAATGTATTTGGTCTTTGTCCCAGGTTTCTCACCTAGAGCTCCGAAAACCAGGGGTACAATTTCCTGAGTGATACGAATGTCTTTGGCTTTCCATTTAAAAGGAGCTATTTTCTCCCACACCTGAATTAATGCTACTGAGAGGGGTCCTGGGGTTGGGGGCTAGACAGCTTCAGAGTGGAGGCTGGCCACCAGAGGAACCAGACCAGGAGAGGGGAGAGGGGTTGGAGACTGAGTCCAATCACCTGACCCATGATTTCCTCACTCCGTGTCTGCTCAATGAAGCCCCATGTGAAGCCCACGGGGCGTGAGGTTCCGGAGCCCCTGGGGCGTGGAAGCTCTGCCTGCCTCACCTCCCATGCTTTCTCTCCCACGGGCCTCTCTATGTGGTGCCTCCCTAAGGGCCATCCATTCCAATAAAACAGTCGTCTTAAATGTAGTGTGCTTTCCTGAGTTCAGTGATTGTCCTAGTGAATGATCAAACCTGAAGTGTGACCCCTCGAATGTAGCCAAATCAAACACAGGTGCCGGCATCCTGGGGACCTGGGACTTGTGGCTGGCATCTGAGTGGGGGCTGTCTTGTGGGATGGAGTCCCTTGACCTGTGAGGCCCACTCTAACTCCAGGTATTGTTGTCAGCATTGAACTGAATGGCGGGATATCCAGCTGACGGAGAATCGTCGGGAAACATTATCTATCTAATCACATTTCCTAGCAAAGCAGCTGGAGCCCAGCCTCAGCACATCCCAGCGCCCTTTCCCATGCAGCCTACCCTGCCCTTCTTCCTCCTAGCCCTGACCTTGGGAGCAACTCCAAGCCAGCCTCCTCTCCTCCATTAATGAGCACACTGGAAGATGGCACCTTTGCTTCCCTTTTCCAGGCTTTGCAGATCTTAATTTCCCTCAACCACTCTTCCTTTGGGAGGGGTTCCAGAACCATCACTTCCCATCACCCTTCTTTTCTTCAGAACCAAATTTTCTACAGCTGCTCACTTCCTATGAAATAGAGGACTGAGAGAAGGCTTTGCAAGTCCTGTGGAGGCTGCAGCCGGCTGGGCGCAAACCTAGTCATGGACCACAGAAGCCACTCATACTTCTAAGACCTCACCAAGGACGAACCGTCCATCCTTGCTACGCAGGTTTCAATATTACAAATATTTACTACTTCAAATGCAGGAGGTAGAATAGGCTGGTCATGATGAATGAGTAGAATCAAGACCGCTAAGCTACCAGCAATTTACAGGTTGGCTCACGAGACTAGTAACAGTATCACATGTTTAGTGAGCCAAGCAGTCCACCAAGAGCTGACACCAACATCCACTTAACCATCACAACAACCCAGTGGGGATGATACCATTTCCTCCATTTTGTAGTTGAAGGGACTAAGGCTCAGAGAGGTGAAGTGACTGAGTCAGAGCCACACAGCTAGTGCAAGGCAGGGCTGGGACTGGAACCCAGGTCATCTGTCTCCCGGTGCCTGGGCCCCTTCCACTCCATACTGCCAGAGGTCACTGCAGTGCTCCTGCTGGCACTGGCCAGTGAGCTGTCACCTTGCACCTCACATCCTCACTCACAGAGTGTGGCCAGAACCAAAGCACTAACAGGATTTGGGAACTGGGTTGGTGCAGTTAAATTGGGTTAAATTCCAGCTGCTACTTTCTAGCTCTGGGATCTTGGCTATTTCACGTCTGTGAGCTGCAGTCTCCCTGCTGGTCCTGGCCACCTTGTAGGGTCTGTGGGGGATGGCATGACTGTGTGCTAAGTCCCTGACACACCATAGGTGCTCAATAGGTGGCAGCGGTCTGGTCCGCAGATGCCCCTGGCGGTGGGGCCAGGCACTCAGGCCGTATGCAGCCGGGCAGTGTGGGTCGTGAGGGCTGAGCCTGCTTGTGCTTATTTAGCTGTCATATCACATTGCACAGCCATCTGCTCTCACCCCATAAATTGCCCCCTCGCATTGCAGCTTTCCAAGTTTCTCCGTTTCCTGAGTTTCCCGCATCCCTCGTCCCTCCTTCTCCAGCTGTGGCTCGTGTTTTTCCATGGGAAGGTTTCTTTCACTTACTGCATCTCTAACTTTCTCTTTTTCTTCCTTATCTGTCCATGGTGATGATCACAACACATCCCAATTTAGTCTCGCCAGCTAATTTAATGTGTTGCTTCTCCCTCTCACAGTCTACAAGGCGGAGAGCACTGAAGCACGAAGTGGAACTCTTTTGCTATGAACGACCTCACCAATTATGAACCTCATAGTCTGTGTGTGTGCCATGACAAAGAACAGAAGCAAGAGAGATGAAGCCCGACGGCCTAGATTCCACAAATCAACACACGCAGCCATGAAAACCCCAGCCCTGAAGGTGATTTTGGATCTTTCTAGTCATAGGTAAATCGACTCATTTTTATTAAAATAACAAGTTGCCCCAGAAAAACAATTGCTCTTACTGAGGAAAAAATCGTAGCCACCTGGCGGGTCAGGTGCACAGGTGACTGTGTAGTGTAAGTGATGGACTCAGCCTTCATTTCACAGTGCTGCGGCGACGATTTTCTTCTTTTCCCTCTGCCAGTGACTTTTAGCACCTCTGTTTTGTACCCCACATTATCTTTTCAAGGGCATACAGCTGAGGCCAGGCCTACGAAGAAGGGCCTGCCACATGCCTCTCCACCTCCACAGCGGGAATCCCCACCTGTGGATCCGGAAGCTCCTGGTTGGCCTGCTGACCCCATCCGGCCCCTGCAGGGCCCAGGGACTGCCACATAGCGCCACCTAGTGACATCCCGGGAGGCGACCCAGCCCTCCAGATCTGGCTGAAGGTGAGAAACAAGGGTGAGGGTGGGCTTGTGTGTGTGTGTTCAGGGGCAGGGGGGCCTCTAAGTGGGATCCCACTGTAGGGTGGGCAGCCAATTCCCAGGGTGGCAGGAAGCACCCGGTTCTCCTGCAACGTGTGCTGGAGGCGGTGGCTCCCCACTCATCATCTGGTGGGGAGGAAATCCACTCCACGCAGGCAGAGGAGTGGGGGGCCCCAGGTGAGAGGAGTCCCAGGCGACGGTGGAACGTCCCTGCCAGCATGTAGGAGAAGCCCATGACTTCAGGGGTGGTTTATTCAGTTCCACGGACATGCACTGAGCGCTGGATTCATGCCAGGAACTCGGCTAGGCTTCTGGGGTGGGGGGCACAGAGGTGGAGGGCGGCTCCTTCCCCTAACAGAGCTCAGCTTTAGTGAGGGAGGAAGGGGGCTGCAGCTGCTGGGCATTGACTCCAGAGTAAGTGGCTACCAGGAGTGGGTGCCCAAGCCTGAAAGAGGGAGGGAGGCTCAGGCCCAGGGAGGCCTTCAGCGGAGGGGACACGGGAGGAGGCTGTGGGAGAGTCAGTCAGTGGGGACGCAACTGTGTGCATGTGTCCTACATGCATGTAAGCACGTGTGTGCATGTGTGTGTGAATGTGTGTGTGCATGAGTGTGTATGTGCCTGGGTATGAGAGTGTGTGTGAGTGCATGAGTGTAAGCATGTATGTGTGTGCATGAGTGTGTATATGTGAGTGTGTGTTTATGTGTGTCTGTCTGTGTTGTATGTGTGTGTTAATGTTTATGTGTGTGTGAGTGTGTGTAGCAGTGGGGTAGGGAGATGGAGAGGAGAAATCAGGATGAGGAGTCCACACAGGGAGTCCAAATAAAGAGGGTGGGGTCACTACAACGGTTCTGCAGTGACAGAATCCTGGGAACTCCAAGAGCAGGGGAGCCCTTGAATGACCTAGGTGGGAAAGACGGAAAGAAAGCTGCCGTCAGAGAGTGATGGCTGGAAGAGCTGGAAGGGGAGAGGAACTGGGTTGTTTTGCTAGCCGGGTTGTGGCAACTAAACAGGGTGATCAACTCTCCTGGTTTGCAGCTGAGAGAGTTTCAGGGATGCAAGACTTGCAGTTTGAAAACCAGGACAGTCCCAGGTGAACCAGGACAAGTTGGCCACTGTACAGTCAGCACTATATTAGGAATTTAGGTAACATCTTCACCCATGGTGATGTGCTCAGCGCTTCCCAGTGCCCTCCAGGACCCCTCCTCTAGACAGGGGTAGACAGCAATGCCAGGACCCTCCTTGATGAGCCCCTCAACCAATTAATCATTTCTAACAGGAAGGAACCAGAAATAAATCACCCCACACCAGGAAGCGCGGTGAGAAGCGGCTGAGTTGTTGCCTTCAGGCTTGCGTGGTTTCATGCAGGTGCCTGCATTCTATTTGGGTGCCTGCACTCCGTCGCCAGCTCCTCGTGATAATGCCTGTTACATGCTTGCATTAATTTGGGTAGCCAAGGAATAATTATGAGATAAGGGTTATAATTTCTAAACCAGGCCTTTGTCTTAATCATCCTTAGCATTAAAATGAAAAGAAACTGCAACATTCGCGCTTTACCTCCAAATCAGAAACCCAGTAAATACAGTTTGTTCTGCACTTGCCAGGGCCCATCCGTTTGCATTCAGCATTGTAGGATCCCTTTGTGTGCTGAGCTGAGCTGTGCTGTCTGGGGAGCACACCCAGAAATGCGAGGCTGCGCTGGGAATGAAGGTGCAGGCAGAGGGAGGGGTGGAGGGACAGGAAGAGGCGGGGAGCACCGAGTGATCCATGTTCATTATTTGCTGTTGCACATGGGCAAGGTGTGGCTTTGGCAAACTCTAGGCGCATTTACTTGTCTTTTCGTGATGCATTTTTGGAATACATGAGCATATATATTTCTCACCCATTCCTTCCTATCTCTCTCCACCATATATAGGAGAATGGTTGCAAAGCCAGGAAGAATAGCAGAGAAGGCTGGTGGCCAACAGCTGCCCAACATCCAGCCTCCAGCTGTGTCCTATATCCCTAAATGACTCCTCTCAAGGTGGCGGGAGGATTGAAATCTTGTCTTCCCTGGCAACCCACCCAGAGTAGAGGTGCCGTTGCAGGGCCTTGTCTGGTCCCTCCTGCTCTGCCTGGTGCTGCCCCTCTGGCCTTCTTCCCACAGAGGCCACAGTGTCACTCCCTGCTGGAAACCAGGGTGCTCACCATCCACACCAGTGCATCCCATGCTGGCTGCACAAGGACCACCCTGAGCTTGGCCTGGACCTGGCTCCTGGATATTTGCATTCAGCAGGTTAGGAGGAGTTGAGGAATCTCTTCTGAATGTCCCCCAGGTGGTCGGAATGTGCAGTCAGGCATGGGAACCCCTGGAAGCTGCTCACCTGGCATCTGCCATAGGCCATGTAAAAGGATGATTGTCCTTTTCTGAGAAGTGCCTGAGATCAGGGACTGTGCCTCATCTCCCTTTGTGTGGCCCTGGGCATAGCAAAATGGGCCCTCCCTCTTACAAAGTTCAAAGGGCTTCAAGGGACCACAGAATTAGGCACAGCGTTAGCTGGCACAGGGCTGCTTTCCAACAGACAGGAGTTAGGGCGGCCCTCCAGCTGGTCCAACAGGTGCTTCATTCTCAATGGCTGGCACCCATGGGGTGCTGGTTGTTACACATTTTAACTATCGTGTCTCCTTTCAACTACTGAAAGTATAATTCTCATGAGGTGTGGGGTCAGGGACCCAAGTTCTTCCCTTTCTCCCTTGAGGCATCACAGCAGGTCTCCAGGGAACTGGGGGACACCGTTGAAATCTGGTCAGATGAAAATAAAAGGTGAAACCTATCTAAGGTGTATTAGAGGCCTAATAAAAATCCGCATTTTTCTTCTAGGACATGGTTATAACAGAAGCCTCCCACCTCCCTGAAAATACAATACACTTCTGACATCCTCCCAGTCTAAGAAAAGTCACCAATAATGTTCAAGCCATGGGTGGCTTCAGTGAAAACTCTGGTGAAATGATGACAGTTTGGCTGGCTTGGATGGTTTTGCTGCTAGTGTGAAGGTCGAGATATGGTTTCTATTATAAACCACGCTTTCTCGGATTTTGTGGCATTGCTATTTTAAATTGTCCTGCAAAGAGGCTTCCAGCCAGCGGGACTCTTCGGAGCCCGTGGGAGTGGCGGTTATGAGCCTTTGAGATGTGTTTGCCGCATGCCGCTCCAAAGAGATGTTCCTCTAACCATTTCCCTTTCTCTGTCTTTCTAAAACAGAATGTAATTGCTCAGGCAGCAGACCACTGGCCTGACCCCGGAGAGCCCCTGGCCACACACTGCTTGCTCCTCGAAATGGGAACTGCAGGCAGCGAAGTCAGCAGGGATCCAGAGACGCAGACGTTCTTGGCGTGGAGCAAAGCGCTGGAGAAAAGCACTCAGTGGATGGGGTTTCTTTCTTCTTTTCTTTTTTTTTTCCGAATCACGTTGATTGCAGTGCAGCCAGGCTGAGAAGGGTATGCCTGTGCTCCCATGCAGCTCACACAGACGGCCCTGGTCGCCACCAGAACGCATGCAGCTTCCCGCCCCGCATCTGACTTCCTGAAGCTCAGGCAGGCCTGGACAATACCACAGGAGCTGCCACTAAAGCTCCGAAGCCACGTTTTCCAGATTGTCTTGATTTCCCCAGATATTTTGGGTCCAGGCCTCACAGCCGTTCAACCACAGGTTTTAGAATTGAGCCTGGCATTTCATATCCTGTTCCAGTTTTCAAAATAAGTCTCTCCTCTGGAGAAAAATATCAGCCTCCTTTAGAAGCTTGGGCCTGAATTTGCTGCATTTCTCTCAAGTCAGGCAGGGGTCTGGACCATGTTCTATGATCTTTCACCAAGCTCTGGGGAAATCTTTCCCCATCCTACCTTCATGAGCATGGTGGCATAAGATGGACACTGTCCAGGAGAGGCTGCAGGAATCAGCCCCTCAGGGCTGTGTGTCTCGGCCTTGGACTGTAGCTCTGGGTCAACTGATGCGAGGAGAATTCGTGCTTTCAACATCTCTTCCCTGTTGAAATCTCTTCTGGAGCTATTAATAATTAGCCAGGGTTGAAAGCCTGACTTCACTTTCTTCGCTGTTTACTTGGTGACTGGTTTACATGGTGACTGGTTTACACACCAGCCATGTGAACAACCTGTCAATAAGTAGAGTCAGGAATCAACTGCCTCAATATTTAATAATTCGTACCACCCACTAACATCTACTGAGACTCTACTGTGTACAAGTTCATGATGGGAAACAAAGGTCAAGATGCCAAAGACCTGTCCTCAGGGAGCTTCCACTCTAGGAGGGCAGAGTCCAAAACAAACAAATGTAGCATCAGGTCTTACGGAATTCCAAGCTGGAGAGCATTAGCAACTCTTGAGTGTTTCCTGGTAGAGATGGTGTTTGATTTGGCCTTTGAAGGACAGGGAGGGATTGGCACAGAGAGGGCATTCCAGGGATTCTACTGATTATTTATTAGGCTGATTGAAGTTACTTGGGCGAGCTCAGTTACCTCTCCCTGACCACCAAATTCCCAACACTTAAGTGTTGCAATGGAAGAATTGTTTTCACAACCAGAAAAATTTTAGTTCTGGTATATGCAAATCACCCATGTTGGTGATAAGAAAGAAAGGGATTGGGGTAAGGTAGAAGAAAAGGAGGTAAATTGGGCTTGGAGCAACTGTAGAGGTTTTTGCAGTATGACATGAGCAAAAAAATTTGAAAGGACAATGGTAGAACTTCTGTTTCTGCAAGTGTGAAGGAGCCGAGACGTAGCTCTAGACCCCACGGAAGCCAGAAGGGTGAGTCTGTAACTGGGAAACACGAGGTCAGAAACACATTGAACATTCTGATGAAATGTCTGGAACATCTTAGAAGAACTGGATGGGACTGTGTGCTTCATGGCTAGACTGGAATTCAAGTCCTGGGTTTGTTGCTCAGAGATTTGTAACCATAGGCATGGGACCTAAAATGATGAGCCGCCATTAACTCAGTAAAATTGGGATCGCAGTATCCACAATGCAGAGAGAGTGAACTGAGGAGGTACCTAATTCCAGATAGCCACTACTGTTATGGTTGTTATTGACCAAAATAAAAAAAAGAAAATCTCCGTATATTTATTATGTGCAAAATATAAAATAACTTGATGTGTATGTCATTGAAACTTTTGGGAGGGCCATAGGGAGCTCTTTCCAAAGTCTACAATGATCCAGGCATGAAAAATTAAGATTGTTCTTCACAGCAACCAGTATTACTAATTAAAGGTGGAGGAAATCACATTGACAGTCTGTTTAGCGGGTCAGTGTAAGAATTTTCACGGAACTGCTCATGACCTGTTTGACTTTGTTCTTTGACTCTGTTCTTCCCATGAGCTGTGAATTACATTACCCTGAAGATAATGGATCATGATCCTCCCCTGGAAAAATTCCCTGTGGTTTCCCATTGAACTTAAGATTAAAAAATACCAAGTTTTTTGTTTTTTTATCTTGAGATGGAATCTTGCTCTGTCGCCCAGGCTGGAGTGGAGTGCTGCAATCTTGGCTCACGGAAACTTCTGCCTCCCAGGTTCAAGTGATTCTCCTGCCTCAGCCTCCCACGTAGCTGGGATTGTAGGCACGTACCACCACGCCTGGCTAATTTTTGTATTTTTAGTAGAGACGGGGTTTCACCATGTTGGTCAGGCTGGTCTCAAACTCCTGACCTCAGGTGATCTGCCTGCCTCGGCCTCCCAAAGTGCTGATGTTACAGGTGTGAGCCACTATGCCCAGCCACAAAAATACCAAGTCTTAAGATAAAAAATACCAAGTCCTGGGCCAATGGTCCCTTGCTTACCTAAGCAGCCCCATCTCGTTGCCACGTCCCCTCTCCTGGCTCCCCACACTTGTCCACCTGGCCCATTCTTTCCATTCCTCTAACTCTCAAAGGTCTTTCCCGGCTCAGGTTCTTCAAGCAGCCCGTTCCCTCAGCCTGGAGAGCACTTCCTCTTCCCGCCTGACCACTGAGAACTCCTCCTCTGGGTTTCAGCCTCAAGCTCTCTTCTCAGAGAGGCCCCCGTAGCCCCTCACCTACATCGGGCTCCTGTTTCCCCCACCCCAGTACCCTCTTTCATGGCAATCTCTGTGTCCATGACAGCCCTTACCACAGTGATTTATTTGTGTGGTATGTGTATTTATTTAGTATCTACTGTCTTCACGAGCAGGGAGAGCGGGAGGGGGACAAGGACTCCCAGTGGCTCCTCACTGTGGAATTAGAACTTTTCATTGGCCATCACGTGTAGTCGGCACTTGGCACACATCTGCTGGTTTGCTAGGTGCATGATGGCTGACGCACGCGGCCTTCACAGTGGGGGATGGAAGAGTATGCTTGAGTCTGCTGCAAACTGCCCTTCTCCACTTGGCATTTTGCTGTGTTGTGCCTGACTCTCCCATAATTTAGCATCACCGAGCCTGCCTCCTCAGTGTCCTTGGCCCACCATGACATTGTGACAACCCAACCTGCCCTAGGCCCCTGGGAGAGGGAGTGGCAGGGTGCCCAACTAAGAACCCCAGTGGAGCCAGCCTGGGCAGGGCTCCCGTGCTCTGGGGAAGAGCGTGATCTTCATCCCCTGGAGGGAAGATGCAGGGCAAAGGCTTTCCAGAGGACAGGGACCAGGTCTCAGGTAGGACTTCCGTGAGGAAGGCCCATTTCCTATGACAGGCTCAGGCTGGACCCATGGAGGCAGCCTGTGCTTTACCTCTTTCTGTTTCATCCTATGGGGATAAGAACACTTTCAGATTTCTCTCCTTTCAGGACAGGAGGCCGGAGAAAGGACTGACAGCAGCTGGAAATCCAGCTGGACTATTAAAGAGTGCAGGGGCAGAGGCAAACTGGGGGCCCCTGGCCAGGGGGCTTGCTTTACTATGGCAGGGTCAGCAGCCCCACTACATGACTGTGTAATCCCAGCACTTTGGGAGGCTGAGGTGGGTGGATCACAAGGTCAGGAGTTCAAGACCAGCCTGGCAAATGTGGTGAAATCCCATCCCTACTAAAACTAGAAAAATTAGCCAGGCATGGTGGCAGACACCTGTAGTCCCAGCTACTCGGGAGGTTGAGTCAGGAGAATAACTTGAAACTGGAAGGTGGAGGTTGCAGTGAGCCGAGATCCCGCCACTGCACTCCAGCCTGGGCAACAGAGCAAGACTCCGTCTCAAAAAAAAAAAAGACAATCTGTTCCTGTCTTTATCTTTTTCAGTGACTCCTCTCTAAGAAATCCTGAGAAAAAGATGAACTCAATAAAGTCTTCCTGTTAGTGCCGCCGCCTTAAAGTCTGCAAGACTTAAATCGATGGTAGAAAGTTAGTGTGTTTTGGGGAGGGGCATTTTTACCAAGGAAACCAAATCTTCCATGTTTCTGGGATGGCGGCTATAGGCAGAAAGGAGTGGGGAACGGGACTCTAGTGGCTGTCACCCAGCATCACCGTGTCCTGACTCAGCTGTTTTCCTCATCATGGCTAAACCAGAAACCAGTCTCATCTGCCAGCCGAACTCAGACCTGGAGAGATTGCTTTCAGGCTGAGAGTCTTGCCATGCCACAGATGTGAAGTGTAAGCCAGCCCTGAAATGTCATCGCATGCACTGTGGATGGGTGTGTAGGTTTCAGGGCAAAACATAACGTTCTTTTACCATTTGGGGAGAAGTTTTGCGAATAGGAATGTGAGAGATTAATAGCCTTGGCACAGAGCAGAAACAAGGATATAGAATGGGGTTTTTAATTCTCTGTTGTCAAGAAAGTACAACAAACAATAGAATGATGTCAAAAAAAGAAGTTTAAGCCAATAAAGAAAGAATGGGCACTTGTTTTTGGGATTTCTCAGAAAACAAATAAATAAAGCCCCAATGTTATACTAAAGTAGAATCAGAAATTATAACTTTTACATATGGTGTCTTCATAATAAAAATTTGCAAATTCCAGGGTAGAAGTAAAATGATTAAGATATTCAGTCTAGGAAACTGCAAAAAGTCATTAAAAGATATCTCAGTGTCTCTCAGGACTCAGGGACAATTATGATTTTCCAGAGAAACATATATGTTCATGAATATAGACGCTCTAAGTTATATTAATGGAACTGATTGTTCTCTTTGGATTAGCTTCTTGGAAGCTCAGAACCACATGTGTGTTCCATTTTATTTGGCTGTATGTTATTTTCAGAACTCACAATAACAGCTGGGTGTGCTGGCTCACACCTGTAATACCAGCACTTTGGGAGGCCAGTGCGGGCGGATCACTTGAGATTCAGAAGTTCAAGACCCTCCTGGCCAACATGGTGAAACCCCATCTCTACTAAAAATACAAAAATTAGCTGGGCATGGTGGCGGGCACCTGTAATCTCAGCTACTTGGGAGGCTGAGGCAAGAGGATCTCTTGAACCTAGGAGGTAGAGGTTGCAGTGAGCTGAGATCGTGCCACCTCATCCCAGCCTGGCTGACGGAGTGAGACTCCGTGTCAAAAAACAAAAACAAAAACAAAAACAAACAAAAAAACAAGAAAACAACATCAAAACAAACAAACAAAACTAACAATATCCACGATGCAGAGTCATTAGGAGAATTAGAAACAAGAACTAGGATGCACTTAATTCAAGATAGCTATTATTATTGCAGTAGTTGCTATTATCACTGACTAAAATTTAAACAGAAATTTTTCTTGATGTATTTATTATCTGCAAGGTATAAAATAACTTTCTATGCACACCATTGAAGCTTTGGGGGAGGGGTCGTTCTAGAGTTGCTAAGGATCCGGGTGTAATACATGAAGATGAGTTTCGCAGCCCTTATCATTAGTAATTAAAGGTTTGTGAGCCACCATGGATAGTGTATTAGTGAGCAACCCTCATCTTTCAGAGCTAATCTTATTTTTTCACACCCTATTTATCTTATTTCTGATGTTCTTCTTTTTCTTTTTAAAGTTCCTGCTTCACTTATCTTTGAAATTGCCTCGAATCTTCCTTTGGAAATGATTGTATATTTTAAAATGCTGCTCCAGTAATTGTCAATAGCTAGGCATTCTTCCTTTCTGTTCTGTGGCTTCTCCCTAAGACGTACAATACAGTACTGCTTAGCCCTTGCTAACTGATGGTCTCACTTCTGATTTACTCAGACAAACGTGTGTGTGTGTATTTGTCAATGCGTACAAAACACATAATAGAACATAACATGGTCAATGCTAATTTGTCAGTTTCCCACAGGGGAGCAGGTACTTGGACCCACAGCAGAGTACGGGGGCAGGAGGATGTGGGGGAGATGGAAGGGAGCAGGTACTTGGACTCACAGCAGAGTATGGGGCGGGAGGATGCGGGGGAGATGGAAGGGAGCAGGTACTTGGACCCACAGCAGAGTATGGGGCGGGAGGATTGGGGGGAGATGGAAGGGAGCAGGTACTTGGACCCACAGCAGAGTACGGGGCAGATGATTGGGGGGAGATGGAAAGGAGCAGGTACTTGGACCCACAGCAGAGTACGGGGCAGGATAATGGGGAGTAGATGGAAGGGAGCAGTCACCTGGACTCACAGCAGAGTACGGGGCAGAATGACTGGGGGGAGATGGAAGGGAGTAGGTACTTGGGCCCACAGCAGAGTACGGGGCAGGATGATGGCGAGGAGATGGAAGGGAGCAGGCACCTGGACCCACAGCAGAGTGCGGGGTGGAAGGATGGAGGGGGGGTGGAAGGATGGAGGGGAGATGGAAGCAGAGCCAGGGGAAGGAGGACGTGTCACTGGGCATCCTGAGTGGGCCAGCGCAAGTCAGAATGGGGCAGAGGCTGCTGTTTGTCCTTGCTCTCCCCTCACCCCTTCTTTCTGTTCTTTGTTTCGGGGCCCCAGTCTGCCTGACTCCTGGCCTCTGTTTCACTTTTGTCCTGTGATTGGGACCCCCTGGTCTGCACTTCAGCACAACTTCAGATCTCAGAACCAAAGCTGACCCAAGGCAGGAACTTCCTAGCCCCACTAGTCAGCTGATTAATGAGACCGAGGGGAAGCCGCTAGTGGGTTCTGGGCAGAAGCAGATTTACAGCTTATGCACCAAGGTTCTTCATGTGTGTGAACTTCTTCCAAATCCCTGTACCTAATTTTGTATTCATAATTGTGTATATTTTCTTCTTAAAGAGAGATCCCCTTCACCTTAATTCCATAATCTTCAGAGTCCTACAAAACCCGAGTCTGGCCCTGGCTCTGGTATGTATATTTTGCTCCCTGATAAAAGTAGGAGACGTGCAAACAGAACCCACACCCTTTCTTTCCTGCTTCGGAATGTCCTGATGGGATATGATGTGATGTGTGGAGCTGCAGCAGCCATCTTGTGACCTTGAAGAAAGCCAAGAGCATTGCAGAAGAGCTGGCTTGGGGCGTGAGATAATTGAGTTGCTGGATTCAGCAA